TTGGGACTTAGAGTAATATTTGAAGACTTCTTAAAATCCAAGACTTAATGAGATCTTTTTTATTAAATTGAAATCCTTAGAATTAAATCTCATGTCATGAGATGTCATTGAGATACTAAGAAGTTTTAAAAAGTTCAATCAAATTCAAGTGCTAAATAAATTGAATACCTCGTGTCTTTTTAAAACTTTTGTAAGACTTTAAAATTTCAAATGTATTTTTTTTTTTTTTTGGTGGAAGTAAATCATAAATTTTTAGATTTTTTATAATTGGAAACAAATATACAAAAACTCTTATTAAAATCTAAAGAAAATTAAAAATGGAATGAATACACCCTTATCTTGATCTAGTCAATTTATTTTTATTTTCAGATTATTGTAGCCATTAAATGTCCTATATCTATTTTGTGTTTTGGCAGATTCATCACTTCACTAAAAATCTGAGTACAAAACAGCCACTAATTAAGGGAGAATGTTACCATCCCGTTACGGAACGGTTCCGTTGTATTTTTTAAGCGTAGATTACCTACACATTACTAGATTACATCTATATCTACGGCTACAAAACACAACTGAACTATTCCGTAACGAGATGATATCATTCTCCTAATTAAAGTACCCATATTAATTATCATTGGTTAGGACTTAGGATTTAGGATGTGTGTATTAAATCGGCGTAATTTTGTGAGTAGACTTTGAGTGGTATTTTAAAAATATTTTAAAATAAGAAAAATAAAAAGAAAATATTTTGTGAAGTACAATGCAGTGCAAACAGTTGAAGACGGAACTTAATTTTCGTTTCACTCTACTTTAGAGTAAAACTTATAAACTTTACGCTAGATTGGAGATAAGAATTTGAGATAACCTAATAATTTAGCTTGGATAGTCTGAATTTAACATTTTATGCTTTTTAATCTCTTCAAAATCTACCAAATATTTCGTATTTATGTTGCTCGTAATCCAAAAGCAAGATAATCGCAATTTCTCTTTGGCAAACAAATATAATATCACTTTATGATCAAACAATCTCACAGGAATTGTACAATTTACTATCATAGGATTACACAATCACTACAACTTTTACAATTCATTCAAATTGTAGTCTCTTATAAAAGGCAACACCTCATATATTTATGTACAACCAACACTAACAAGATTTCAAAAAACATCATCATACAATACATGCTCCAAAAACGCAATGGGTTGCTCAAATTTCAAAAACACGCTTTTGTTCCTCTTCATTACAGCCAACCTTGTCCATGCACCATTCGCTTCTTATCTCGAGATCAAGAAGAAATGTTTCCTAACCTCGAATGTCACGGTTCAGGTGACCAACATGCTATCTGTGAACGGCCCATTACTACTGCATTGTCGCTCGAAAGACGATGATTTAGGAATAAAGACGATTGGTCAAAATCAAAAATTCAGGTGGACTTTCTGCACTAATATTTGGCACACTACCAAATTTTGGTGTACTTTTCAGTTTGGACAAAAGAATCGAGTGATTGTCGCGTACGAGGAGACAGTGAAGGAGTTCTGTAAAGACAATCAATGTTATTGGTCTGCAAGAGATGACGGAATTTACTTGTTCGATACTGAGTATTATGATTGGCAGTGATCTTATTTGAGTGTACTTGAGAG